ACATGAAGAACAGATGTTAGAAGATCAGAAACATGAAGAACAGATGTTAGAAGATCAGAAACATGAAGAACAGATGATAGAAGATCAGAAACATGAAGAACAGATGTTAGAAGATCAGAAACATGAAGAACAGATGTTAGAAGATTAGAGGAAACATGAAGAACAGATGTTAGAAGATCAGTAACATGAAGAACAGATGTTATAAGATCAAAGGAAATATGAAGAACAGATGTTAGAAGATCAGAAACATGAAGAACANGATGATAGAAGATCAGAAACATGAAGAACAGATGGTAGAAGATCAAAGGAAACATGAAGAACAGATGTTAGAAGATCAAAGGAAACATGAAGAACAGAAGTTAGAAGATCAAAGGGAACATGAAGAACAGATGTTAGAAGATCAAAGGAAACATGAAGAACAGATGTTAGAAGATCAAAGGAAACATGAAGAACAGATGTTAGAAGATCAAAGGAAACATGAAGAACAGATGTTAGAAGATCAGAAACATGAAGAACAGATGTTAGAAGATCAAAGGAAACATGAAGAACAGATGTTAGAAGATCAGAAACATGAAGAACAGATGACAGAAGATCACAGAAAGCTGTGAAAGCAGAAGCAGGAAGAGTTTTACTCACAGATCTCCAGGACAAGAAGAAGGAGGGCGAGAGGAGCCATGTCTGAGCTTCAGCCTGAACGGACTCTGCAGAAGCTGCAGAAGCTTTTAAAGCCTGTTCCTCCTCCTGAGCACCAATCACAGGACGAGGCCTTATCAACAAAGCACACCTGTCACACACTGACATCCAGCTGAAGACATGATTGATAAAAAACATCCAAACTGAGCTCTGATGCTTCCAGCTTCTCGTCTCCTTTCTGACATTTGATTCGATTTGAAATAAAAACCCTGAATTCACTGAAGATAAAGCTTTAACACACTTAGTTATTAGAAACAGAGGATTTTAACTCTCTGTGATGTTCTGATCAGTCTGGATCACATAAAACTACAACAGAAACTTTATTCATGTGAAATATTTAATGAAAATCATTGTTTTTAAATTAATCAAGAGTTAAACTAGTTTATAAAAGAAGTTGAAGAAGTTGAGTTAAGTCAGGTGTTAATAGATTTTATTAAAGGGATCCCTAATTAGTTGTAACA